ACTCAGGAGGCTGAGATCAGGATGCTGAGATCTGAGGACGATGGTTCAAAGCCAGCCTGGGCAAGAAGGTCCATGAGACTCTTATCTCCAGTTAACCACCAGAAAACCGGAAGTGGCTCTGTGGCTCAAGTGGTAGAGCACTCACCTTGAGCTGAAGAGCTGAGGGACAGTGCCCAGGCCCAGAGCTCAAGCCCCACAACCAAAAAAAAAAATTATTTTTTAATACAACTTGATTGGGTAAAACCTTCTAATGTTTTATCTAACTGTTCTCAGAGCATTACTTATAAGCAAGAGAAATTGAATCTTAAAAATTCAGTCTTAAAAATTAGGGGAGAAAGCCGGCCCTGGTGGTTCGCATCTGTAGTCCTAGCTACTCAGGAGGCTGACATCTAAGGATCGCAGTTTGAAGCCAGTCCAGGCAGGAAAGGCCAGACTCTGATCTCCAATTAACCAGCAAAAAAGCAGGAAATGGAGCACCAACCTTGAGCACTAAAGATCAGGAACAGTGCCCAAGCCCTGAGTTAAAGCCCCAGACCCACCACAACACCCCTACATGACAACAACTAAAACAACTATATTTCCTTTAAAATACAATTCAGTGGATGGACCTATAACAAATCATGTTAAGTGAGATAAGCCAAACTTAGAGACACAAACAGTGTGTGTTTTCTCTCATACAGATGCTAGATCTAAAATACATCGGGACATGATGAATTTTTCAGGACTTTAGGCATTCACAGACAGTGAGACCAAAGGAGGATATTCTTAGGAGTGGATCACAAAGGCAGAGTGCTATGTGTATATGATTATAAAAAATAAATTTATTGAAATAAACTCCAGGAAATGGAAGCAAGGTTTTTTTCTTTGTTGTTTTTGTTTTCTTTTTTGTCTTGTTTGTTCATTTATCTGTCTTTGGGAGGGTAAGGGGGACACAGAAATGGAGAGACAAAGGGCGAATAAATGCAGCAGTGGTACTTACTAGATACTGTGTTGAAAGTGAACTATGTAACTTGTGGGTAGGGGGAAGGGAAAAACTAGAAGAGAATGAGGGAAGGGGTGCCATTGTCCAAAAAGAAATGTACTCATTCCTGACTTATGTAACCAAAACCTTTTTGTACATCACCTTTATAATAAAAAATAAGTAAATTAGGGGCTGGGAAGGTGGCTCAGTGGTAGAGTGCTTGCCTTGCATGCATGAGGCCCTGGGTTCCATTCCTCAGCAAAAAGAAAAAAGCCGGAAGTGGCGCTGTGGCTCAAGTGGTAGAGCGCTAGCCTTGAGCTGAAGAGCTGAGGGACAGCGCCCAGGCCCAGAGTTCAGGCCCCACGACTGGACCCCCCCCCCCCCAAAAAAAAAAAAGTAAATTGGAAAAATATTTCAGGCTCTTCATTAAGTCAGGCTTGTCACTTTATCCCTTCATCCATTTAAAAGACTATAAAGCATTGCCAGGTACCAGTGGCTCACATCTGTAATCCTGACTATGCTGAGAGGATCATTGTTCAAAGTCTCCATGAGACTCACCTCCAATTAACCACTAAAAACCAGAAGTAAAGCTGTGGTTCAAAGTGGTGGAGTGCTAGCCTTGAGCAAAACAACTCACGGACATTGCCGTGAGATCAATCCCCATGACAAAAAAAAAAGCTAATGGTCATTGTATATTTTATACACTTAGCTTTATCTTCTTTGCCACTGGGTCCTTGAACATGTATCTGTTAGCAACAAGCACATTCTCTTACAGAACTATAGTTCTGTTTTATTTTGTTTTTGTTGGTCGTGGGGCTTGAAGTTGGCCTGGGTGCTGTCCCTCAGCTCTTCAGTCTCAAGGCAAGTACTCTACCACTTGAACCACAGAACCACTTCTGGTTTTCTGGTGGTTAATTGGAGATTAGAGTCTCACGGACTTTCCTGCCTGGGCTGGCTTTGAGCCATGATCCTCAGATCTCAGCCTCCTGAATAGCTAGGATTACAGGTGTGAGCCACCAGTGCCCAGCTTCAGAACTATAGGGTTTTTGGTTTTTGTTTTATTTTGTTTTTTTTTTGGGGGGGGGTCCAGTAGTGGGGCCTGAACTCTGGGCCTGGGCTGTCCCTCAGCTCTTCAGCTCAAGGCTAGCACTCTACCACTTGAGCCACAGCGACACTTCCAGCTTTTTTTTTTCTCTGCTTATGTGGTGCTGAGGAATCGAACCCAGGGCCTCAAGCATGCAAAGCAAGTGCTCTACCACTGAGCCACCTTCCCAGCCCTACAGGTTGTTTTTTGTTTGTTTGTTTGTTTTTTGTTGGTCATGGGGCTTGAACTCTGGGCTGGACGCTCTCCCTTAGCTCTTCAGCTCAAGGCCAGCACTCTACCACTTGAGCCACAGCACTACTTCTGGTTTTCTGGTAGTTTATTGGAGATTAGAGTGTCATGGACTTTCTTGCCCGGCCTGGCTTTGAACCATGATCCTCAGATCTCAGCCTCCTGAGTAGCTAGGATTACAGGAGTGAGCCACCAGCGCCTGGCAGAACTATAGTTTTAACTATCAGATTTAGCACATTTAGCATGGCTATATTATTTTAGTACCTAAAAGGCAGATCATATTCAAATTTTAATAATAGGCCCAATTATATATTTTATTTATTATTATATGTTTCTTAGTTTTACTTTTTTTGCCAGTCCTGGGACTTGAACCCAGGACCTGGATACTGTCCCTGGGCTTCTTTTGCTCAAGGCTTGCACTCTACTACTTGAGCCATAGCACCACTTCTGGCTTTTTCTGTTTATGTGGTACTGAGGAATTGAACCCAGGGGCTTCATGCTTGCTAGGCAAGCACTTTACCACCAAGCGATCTTCCCAGCCCCTCTTATTTTTATTTTTTTGCAATGCTGGACTCCGAACCATATTTGCTGGGCAAACAATCATTGAACAATACCTTACACTATCAAGTTGGTCTACAGAACTTTTTTTCCTAGGCTTAGTGTCCTGCCCAGCATATCTGGCTGTCCTGTCTCCAGACTCCAATGTGGAAGCTTTTTTTTTTTTTTGGGTCCGGTCGTGGGGCCTGAACTCTGGGCCTGGGCGCTGTCCCTCAGCTCTTCAGCTCAAGGCTAGCGCTCTACCACTTGAGCCACAGCGCCACTTCCGGCTTTTTTCTTTTTGCTTATGTGGTGCTGAGGAATGGAACCCAGGGCCTCATGCATGCAAGGCAAGCGCTCTACCACTGAGCCACCTTCCCAGCCAATGTGGAAGCTTTTGAACTCTTAAAAAAAAAATAATCAGACTATGCTCTTGAGAGCCTGGCTATTCTACCAGGTGAAAGAAAGCCTTGTTGGGGAACAAGAGGATAGTTCACCCCATCCGTGGCCTGTGTTCCTCAGGGGCCTGGACAGTGGCCTAGCTGCTACTCTCTTAAAAAATGACTCATGGACTATGCCTGTGTGTGTGTGTGTGTTCTAGGGCTTGAACTCAGAACCTAGTTCAAGACTAGTGCTCTATCAGCTGAGCCACAGCTTTCCGATAGTTAATTGAAGATAAGAGCCTCATAGACTTTCCTGCTTAGGCTGGCTTTGAATCACAATCCTCAGATCTCTCAGCCTCCTGAGTAGCTAGGATTGTAGGTATGAGCCACCAGCACCAGATGGACTATGCATTATTGTGGCTGTTACTGAGAACTTTTGCTGAAAACAATGCAGGTATAAATAACTTATGATCAAGATCATCACTTTCTGTGTGTTAAAGCTGGTATCTATCACTAGGGTGCAACTTCTAGTTCTTTTTTTTTGTTGTTGTTCATAGTCAACAATGTATTTTATTATACACCTAAATTTTATATATGCTTTTAAAGCTTCAATCAACAGTTCAGTACAAAATAAAAAATATATGTCTATACATCAGTGGTTCTCAGGCACAGAATTGAGGAGGTGGCTGGAGCAAGGTTTTGTTTTTTGTTGTTTTTTTTTTGTCGGTCGTGGGGCTTGAACTCTGGGCCTGGGCGCTGTCCCTCAGCTCTTCAGCTCAAGGCGAGTACTCTACCACTTGAGCTACAGCACTACTTCCGGTTTTCTGGTGGTTTATTGGAGATAGGAGTCTCACAGTCTCTCCTGCCCGGGCTGGCTTTGAACCGCGATCCTCAGATCTCAGCCTCCTGAGTAGCTAGGATTACAGGCGTGAGCCACCAGCGCCCGGCTGTTGTTTTTTTTAACCTGGCATACAATGCCTATTGTGAACCATGATAGTGGAACATATCCTTCTACATAGCTACCTTCTTGACTGGCTTTTATTACAGCAAACCTATTTGCTGTAAAACAATGAATGTTCTTGAAGTCTTTTAGACCTGACTACTTCTCCTAATAGAGCTCCAATGTCATCCACTGAAAACACATAGAATACAAATTATATGCAACATCTCCTAGAACTGCTGCCTATGCTTATTCTATGTCCTCCAGCCTTACAGGATAAGGCAATGATATGATGATCTCAGTATCCCTGGAAAGTGCCTTCCTCTTGTCGTACGCTTCCTCATCAGGCTCCCCATTGCCAGCTGAATAGTACTCTATGATTGTCTTGTGCACGCTGTAGCTCAGTCACTTATGCATGTTAACTGCAAGTTGGTTTAGACACTTGTACGAAAAAATCAACAAAAAAATCCACCCTTCCTTTCTGAAATGTAGTAACTCCATAAGCTTAGCAGCCAAACCAAGGTGTTGAAACTCAAGGACAACAGACAAAGCTGTGACCTGTCCATGCCATGCTGTTCTAGCGACTGAGCCTTCTGTATAACCCATTAATTCTCCACCAGGTGCCTCAGCAACAATGAAGTACTCTGACCAGGGGGGAATATACTGTAAGTAAAAAGGAATCGCATACGTTTCTGTAAGAAGATCCAAGTTAACGTTGCTGAACAGAACAGGTCGTCGCAAGTGGAGGCTGCAGCCCTGTGCCAGCTCACCACCACCCCATGCCTGCACCAACTTCTAGTTCTTTCTCCATGATTAAAGACATTTTTGGTTTCTGTCTCCATTTAGTCTCAAAGAAGATGGAGCCGGAACCCCCTATGACAAGGAGTCAACAGCCATTATAAAGCTGAACAATACAACAGTTCTTTATTTAAAGGAGGTCACCAAGTTCCTGGCTCTCGTTTGCTTTGTCAGAGAGGAAAGCTTTGAAAGAAAAGGTAAATTTTTTTTTAGTGTAATTTTAAAGAATCCCTTTAATTCATACTACCTTTGTTACTTTGTTGCTTTCTTGTGGTTGTTCAGTGGCATGCCCTAGAAGTTTCCAGAATGTAGTCATAGGCCACTTTCTTGATTAGTAGGCCTGTGGCAGGCCAGACGTGAATGGTTTCTAGGCCAGTGAACTTGTTGGCTCCCAATGGCGCCCTCTGGTGGCGATGAAATGGAGCCAACCCCCCTACCAGATCATCCGGCAGGTGAAGCCAGTGGTGGCAGTTGCCAGGCTATCTCTGAGCAGGGAGAGGTCTCCTCTGCTTGCATTGAGGTGAAGGCTCATCTCCTGGTCTACACTTCTAGAGGGTCGAAGACTCTCCCTGCATTAGAGATAGGTAGTATTTGACTTCCCACCATCCTTCTCCCACAGGGAGATGATGAATAGTACTCTATTCCAAACCACAGGGATGATGTCATGATTACAAAAAAGGGAAGGCATGTATTTAATAACATTACTAAATGTCTTTTTAGGAGCAAATTCAGTTTTACTTTATAATAAAAGCAATGAACCTCAATTTTAAACTGAGAAATGTAAGCTTACCAATGCACCTAGGAAAAAGAGAGAGAGAGACAGAGAGAGAGAGAGACAGAGAGAGAGAGAGTGTGTCAGTTCTGGAGCTTGAACTCAGGGCCTGGGTGCTGTCCCTGATGTTTTTGCTCAAGGCTAGTGCTCAAACACTTTGAGCCACAGTGCCATTTCCAGTTTTCTAGTGGTTAATTGGAGGTAAGAGTCTCGTGGACTTTCCTGCCTGGGCTGGCTTTGAACTGCGATCCTCAGATCTCAGACTCCTGAGTAGCTAGGATTTACAGCCATTGGTGCCCGGCTCCTGGGAATTTTTATTAGTGACTATGGTGTGGTTTGCTAATTCACTGGTAAGTTGCCAACTGGGCTAGCAATTCAGCTCAGTGGTACAGCACTTGCCTGTCATGCATGAGGACCTGGATTGATCCCTAGCACCACACATACATCCCAACACAATGGCAATGGTACCATTTGCTGAAATAGCTGTCTTTATTAACTCATAAACAATGCATGTTCTAAAAACTGCTTTGAAAGTTTAGGAAAATATAAGGAACAAATAAACCACTTATTTTTAGAACCAAACCTCCTGTTAAACTCCTGAGATTTTCTTTTTGTGTGAGTGTGTGTCGGTCATGGGGCTTGAACTCTGGGCTTGGGCGCTATCCCTGTACTCTTCAGCTCAAGGTGAGCGCTCTACTGCTTGAGCCACAGCGCCACTTCCAGTTTTCTAGTGTTTTATTGGAGATAAGAGTCTCATGGAGCTTCCTGCCCAGGGTGGCTTTGAACTGTGATCCTCAGATCTCAGCCTCCTGAGTAGCTAGGATTACAGGCATGAGCCACCAGTGCCCGGCACTCCTGAGATTTTCTTTGCCCTCTTTTCCTCTCTTTCCATTGTCCCTCCCTACCCCCCACCCCCATCCTCGCTTTTTTTACTCTTTCTTTCAATAAAACAGGGTTTTTGTTGTTGTTGTTGTTGTTGTTTCTAGTCAGTCCTGGGGCCTGAACTCAGGTTTTGGGTGCTGTCCCTGAGCACTTTTGCTCAAGGCTAGCACTCTACCACTTTGAGTCACAGCTCTACCTCTAGTTTTCTGGAGGTTAATTGGAATATGAGTGTCACAGACTGGCTTTGAACTGTGATCCTCAGATCTCAGCCTCTTGAGTAGCTAGGACTATAGGCATGAACCACCGCTGCCCAGTTCCATATCATTTTGTGTGTGTGTGTGTGTGTGTGTGTGTGTGTGTGTTTGCCAGTCCTGGGGTTTGAACTCAGAGCCTAGGTGCTGTCCCTGAGCTTCTTTTGCTCAAGGCTAGCACTCCACTTGAAGCCACAGTACCACTTCCAGCTTTTTCTGTTTATGTGGTACTGAGGAATCGAACCCAGGACGTCATGCATGCTAGGCAAGCATTCTACCACCGAGCTCTCCATATAGTTTTATAACTCATTGTTTCAACCCATGTATATTTTTGAAGATTGATAGGGGATTGGAGGTGTGGTTCAAGTTAGACTGCTAGCCTCGAGTGAAAAAGGCAAGGGACATTATAGGTTTTAGCCCAGTATCAGCATAGGAAAGAGGTTGGGAGGGAGGGAGAAGACCAAGACAAGAGTATTGTTAGTTCAAGCCAACTTGAGTCTGGAGTGTTTTGGGTTTTGTTCTTGTTGTTGTTGTTTTGTTTTTGTCAGTCATGAGGCTTGAGCTTCTTTTACTCAAGGCTAGCACTCTACCACTTGAGCCACAGCACCACTTGTGGCCTTTTCTGTTTATGTGGTACTGAGGAATCGAACACAGGGCTTCATGCATCCTAGGCAAGCACTCTACCACTAAGCCACATTCCCAGCTCTAGGCCAGTTAAAGATGGAAAATAGAACCAACCACCTTATCCTCGTTTGGTGTAAAGAAAATTTTTCCTTAGCTCTTTAAAAGTTAAAAGTTAAAGGAGGGAACCAGTTGCTGGTGGCTCATGCCTGTAATCCTAGCTACTCAGGAGGCTGAGAACTGAGGATCGTGGTTCAAAACCAGCCTGGGCAGGAGAGGCTGTGAAACTCTTATCTCCAATAAACCACCGGAAAGCCAGAAGTGGTACTGTGTCTCTGAAAAAACAAGAAGATAATCACCCCATGATTTCTCCACTTAAAATTTGCTTAATATTGAGGGCTGGGAAGGTGGCGCAGTGGTAGAGCGCTTGCCTTGCATGCATGAGGCCCTGAGTTCGATTCCTCAGCACCACATAAGCAGGAAAAAAAAAAAGCCGGAAGTGGCAATGTGGCTCACAAGTGGTAGAGCGCTAGCCTTGAGCTGAAGAGCCCAGGCCCAGAGTTCAGGCCCCACAACCGGACCCCCAACCCCCCCCCCCCAAAAAAAAGAATCAGGGATTTTAGATTCCCTAAGATTTATGAGAGTAGTTTAAGTGTGTTGGAGATATTTAGTAGCTGACTGATATTAGATCTCTCCCACATTCCCAAGTCAGGATCTGCCTCCCTTCAGCATAATGCTCTCTGCAAGGCACATTTTTCATTTTTCGTTGTGTGTGTATGTGTGCATGTGTATCAAGACCAGAGCTTGAATTCAGGGCCTCATGCTATTGCTTAGCGTTTTCGCTCAAGGCCAGTGCTCTACCACTTAATCCACAGCTTTGCTTTTTTTTTTTGTCAGTCATGGGGCTTGAACTCTGGGCCTGGGCACTGTCCCTTAGCTATTCAGTTCAAGGCTAGTGCTCTACCACTTGAGCCACAGCACCACTTCCGGTTTTCTGGTGGTTTATTGGAGATAAGAGTCTCGTGGAGCCTGGCACTGGTGGCTCACGCCTGTAATTCTAGCTACTCAGGAGGCTGAGATCTGAGGGTTGCAGTTCAAAGCCAGCCCTGTCAAGAAACTCCATGAGACTCTTATCTCCAATAAACCACTCAGAAAATCGGAAGTGGTGCTGTGGCTCAAGTGGTAGAGCGCCAACCTTGAGCTGAAGAGCTGAGGGACAGTGCCCAGGCCAAGTTCAAGCCCCACAATCAACAAAAACAAAAAGTCTCATGGACTTTCCTGCTCGGGCTGGTTTTGAACAGCGATCCTCAGATCTCAACCTCCTGAATAGCTAGGATTACAGGTGTGAGCCCCTGGCGCCTGGCAAAGTTTTGCTTGTTAATTAGAGATAAGGCAGTCAGGTGTTTTTCTGCTGGGGCTGGCTTTGAACCACAATTCTCAGATCCCAGCTGCTTGAAATGCTAGGATTACAGGCATAAGCCACCAGTACCCAGTTTATTGTTGACTTTTGAGACCGAGTCTTGCTCTGTAGCCCAGGCTGGCCTGGAACTTGAATTCTCCCTGCCTCAGCCTCCTAAGTGCTGGAATTATGAGCATGTACCACCAATGATCAGCTGACTTATCTTCACTGTAAATTAATCTTTAAATTCTGAAAGGTGAAAACACTGTGCAGGCCAGATGCTGGTGGCTTTCACCTGTAATCCTAGCTACTCAGAAGGCTGAGATCTGAGGATCACAGTTCAAAGCCAGCCCCTGCAAGAAAGTCCAGGAGATTCTTATCTCCAGTTAACCACCAGAAAATTGGAAGTGGCGCTGTGGTTCAAGTGGTAGAGCGCTCACCTTGAGCTGAAGAGCTGAGGGACAGTGTGCTCAGGCCCAGAGTTCAAGCCCCCGACCAACAAAAAATAAACAAAAAACCACTGTGCAGTTCAGTGGTTCTTCCCATCCTTTGGGTCATAGAAACTTTTCAGTCTAATATGCATTCTAGAAACTTTCTTCAGGAACCACCTATCTTTATGAGCTTCCAGTAGTTTTATCATAGTGTCTCGAGTCCAGCCCCAAGCCTTCCCAAGCCCTTTAGGTTGATGGCTGCTCCTCTGTCGCCCCCTACTGACCTGAAAAGATAAACTTATTTCTATGTAATATTGACGATGATTTTTGTTCTCCAGGGCTTATCGACTATAATTTTCATTGCTTCCGGAAGGCCATCCATGAAGTTTTTGAGGTGAGGATGAAAGTAGTAAAATCTCGGAAAGTTCAGAATCGGCTACAGAAAAAAAAAGGAGCTACCCCTAATGGGACACCTCGTGTGCTATTGTAGAAGTTTTGGAAATATCTTTTGAAATCAGATCTTTTAGCCAAGGCTGCTACACTATGTCACTAAGTGGAAGGAGGAGACTGGGACATTTGACATGACTTTGTTATTAAAAAATAATTACTCCAGTTCTCTCAATCTTCTGGTTTTTTTGTTTTTGTTTCTGTTTTTTTAAATAAAGCACTTTGAAGCAAAAACTTGTATAGTAACTATAAAGTGACACCCACTGTATCTTCCTGCTACAAATGTAAACTTGTTTGAAGAGTGTGCACACTGCCAGGAACTGTACATATTTTGCACTTTTTTCATGGTTTTTCCTCATTGAACTGAACTTTGATAAGATGACTTTTGTAAGCTCTTTTCTGTACTTGGTGTGTAGGACACGGATACTGTAGTCTGTCCGTATAGTAGTCAGAAATCAATCAAGAATGCATTGCTAATGGCTTTTTTTTTTTTTTTGTAAATCGGAGTATCTTTGCTACTAATTATTGAGCAAATCATTTTTTTTCAGTGGATCTGGAGCAGATGGGAGCTAGACGTTCCTAAAGCAATAAGAGCCATCCCCCATTTCTAACAGGTATCAAGACTTTTATAGACAAATATTAGCCCCCAACTTACCTAGAACTGTCTATCCCCATGGCCTCATTTCCCTCTCCAACAGTGTATATGATGCTTTTTGCCTTGACACACATCCCGCCACTTACTTTATGCAAGAGGTGATTTCTCTTTGCTAAATTGTTATTCTTTAGAACCTTTGGGACCAGATTTCCAAAATGGTGCCTATCACTGGAGAGAGATCCAGATGTTGCTGAGGCAGGGATTCTGAGGTTCTCCTGTAACTACCACTTAGGGCTAAAATACAAAGGCCAAATGGTTTCTCAAATGGAGCTGTTGGCCATTTCAGACTACAGTTCTGTAACTCTGGGCTCCTTTCAATGGCCTATGTTGTGCTACATTTACAATCTTTAGGACCAGTCTTTCACTGTTTCATGACCATAGTGACTGGAGGGTCCCATACATGTCCTCCCCTCACGCCCATGGAGGGGCTCCTACTGGTTCCATCCTCCACCTGAGTCACCTTTTCATCCCTGCTACTGTGCCTGGAGTCCTATGCCTGGTCCCCCCTCGAGACTGACTTCAGTTTGCTCCCAGCATGCTGTGCAAGGCTGAGGAGCCATCCAAAAGCCTCCTAACCACCAGTGGGTGGCTGGAAGAAGCAGTATCTTTGTTATGTATTTGTTTCTAGAAAGTTCTTTGACTTGGGCCTGGGAATGTGGCTCTGCATGCATGGAGCCCTGGGTTCGATTCCTCAATACCACATAAACAGAAAAGGCCAGAAGTGGCACTGTGGCTCAAGTAGTAGAGTGCTAGTTTTGAGCCAAAGAAGTTCAGGGACAGTGCTCAGGCCCTGAGTTTAAGCGCCAGGACTGGCCCCCTTCCCCCCCCCCCAAAAAAAAAGAAAGAAATTTCACTTGTGTTTACCTTGAGAGTCCTAAATCCAGCCCTATTCCAAACTATTCCATGTATATATTTCCATCTCAAAGGCAGCATTCTGATATGTTGTGGAACATTAGGGGAAAAATACATATTTTAAATTCAGAGCCTCTTAGAGCCATCAAAGCTGATCCTAGCAAAATGTATAAAGTCCCTAAAGCAAATTGTTCACAAAAATGCCTCCACTTCTCTCCTCCTCCCCAAGTCCTATTCCTTTGAAAATAATAACTGAAATTGAGTTAGTGGCTGACTGGGACCTAAGATTTGAGCTTCCCAAGGATCTGTGCATTTTAAAAGGAAAAATTTTGAAATCATTAAGGTTCCTTAGCTTCTTCCCTCACTCAAAACCCTGGAGGGGGGGGACGGGGGAGGGGGGGAGGAGCCACAGGGTTCCAGAGGTCTTTTCTCCCATTTACAGAGCTATCATCTGTTGGACTTTTTGTCCACAGGTCTGGATATGTGTGTAATTATAAATATGTAATATTTTTACAGACATTTCTCTTTGAATAAGCAACCAATGACTCAAATTTTTAAGATGACTACCCTCAAGTTAGAGACACTTGTCTATCTGACAACCTAATTTTATGTATATGTGTGTGTATATACACACATTATTACCAGGTTGAGCTTCCATTTTTATGCTGGCTATGTGATGAGTTTTTGTTAAAATGTGCCTTAAAAAAGCCTGTTACTTCAAGAGCACGATTACTTTGGGGGAAAGGCAAAAAAGAATTCTATGGCATGGTACGATGCAAGCTGACGGTAGTAAGTGCACTGCATTCTTTGGCAATCACATGCTTATATAGACTACTGCCTCAAACCCTGTAATTGCGACAATGTCCTTAACTAAAAATGTAGGAGATGGGTCTATGTGGTCAAGTCTTTTAGGTCGTCTGTGTTTTTTCTTTGATATGAGGATTAGCTCCCATATTATCAGAATGTGTGTATATCCCCATTTCATGTTCGAAAATGTGGCTGTGAACTGGGAACACAAACTCCTAGTGACAGTGACCACACTGGAACATGTTTGCTCAGTTTTAAGAGTTGAGAGCTTGATGTACAGGTTTCTAGAACAAGATGGTCTTTTGCCTCTTGAGTCAAGTAGAATGTTTACGTAGAGATCAGACTGTGAATCATCATCTTTGATTATTTTCAGTGATGTAGCTGAATGTGAATGACCAGAATGGAGTGTTTGTTTATTGAAGGGATAGAAAATTAGAAAAAAAAAAAAAAAACCCTGGTTAACATTCACAAAGTGTTATTTTGTGATCCTAATGTATTTTGACCCTTAAATATAAAATAACTAATATAAAAAATTACAGCAAAACTGTTAACTGTGGGTTATCTGCCAATTTTTGTTTGAAACATAATCCAGAAAACTCACTGAACTGTTCTGATTATTAAAGATCACATGCATTCAGCAAGCACAGACTGGTTGTAATTTGTATGATTTAACTCGACCCTCAGATCTCAAGCTCCTGAGTAGTTAAGAGTATAGATGTGAGGCATCAGGGCCTGGATTTTAAGCCCTATTTCTTCAGTTGGGGTCGGAGCATGGACCTCATGCATGTTAAGTACTGAGCCAACTCCTGCTTTTTCAAACTCTCCATATAAGTATCCCATATGTTCTATTAAAAGCACTTTATCATTTATAATTATTAAAATACTGTTTTCTAGGATGCTGCCAGTTCAAAAGCATGTGTCATATTCATGACTTGGTAAGACTTTCATTTTTTCCCACCATTTTTTTATTAGCATCCATGAGTTGTACAAGGGGCTCATTCTGGCATGTCCCTATATGCATACAATGTACCTGATTACACTCACCCTCTTCATCACTCTCCCAACCCCGCCCTTCCCCAACCAATCTCAACCAGTGCCATTGTTCCATTTGTACACATGCTCACAAGTAGTTTTGAAGATATTCACCCTCACTCTGTCTGCACTCCCACTATTACCCATAGCACTGATAGGATCTCATTTTACTTTAAGCATATCTGCAACTCATCCTTCTGTGAGGAGAGTGGTTTCTTCGAATAAAAGGAAGTATTGCTGTTCCTATTTGAGAAATCAGTTTCTTTAGCCCAAATTTATTCGTTAATTTTTTTTGTTTTTTAATGTTTTGTTTATTGTGAAAATACTGTCCAGAGGGGTTATAGTTACATGAGCAAGGTAATGAGTACGTTCCTTAAAAAAAGTTTTTTGAAGTGAGGTGTCACTATGTTGCCCAGGCTGGTCTTGAACTCTTGGCCTCAGCCTCCCTTGTAGCTGGGCTACAGTTGCATGCCACTATGCTTGGATATTTAACAATATTTGTCTTGATTAGCTAGCTTTCATCATGCAAATGAGGATAAGTCACTTTAAGTTAAAATTATACCTTTATTTATTTATTTATCTATTTATTTATTTTTGGTCATGGGGCTTGAACTCAGGGCCTGGGCACTGTACCTGAGCTTTTTCACTCAAAGCTAGTGCTGAGCCACAGTGCCACTTCTGGTTTTCTGGGGGTTAATTGGAGATAACAGTCTTACAGTCTTTCCTGCTCAGGCTGGCTTTGAACCTCAATCCTCAGATCTCAGCCTCCTGAGTAGCCAGGATTACAGGCGTGAGCCACCAGTGCCTAGCTTTATAAGTTCTCCTCCATTCCCCTCTGCCAGTACTGAACCAGACCTCACATTCTTGCTTAGCTTTTCCACACATGGCTGGTACTCGACCTCTTGAGTTACATATCAAATTACACCTCAAGAGTTTTTAGCTGGTTAATTGGAGATGAGTTGGATTTGTCTGCCTGCGCTGGCTCTGAACTTTGATTCTCAGATCTCAATCTGCTGAGTGGAATCCTAGCAGATTATAGATGTGAGTCGTCAATGCCTGGGTTTTAAGCCCTTTTTCTTCTGGTGTTGGGTCAGATCATAGACCTAATGCATGCTAGGCAAATACTCTCTTGACCATTGAGCCAACCTATAGCTTTTTCAAACTCTCCCCTGCATTTTGTTTTGAGGCATGCCTGTTAAAATCATAGAACTATTATTTCAATAAACTTCAATATTCATGCTGTGCTACACCTAGTCTTTCAGCCAATTGGCAGTTCTTTGTAACAGTCCACATCACCACCCCTACTTCCTGTATTAGGAAGATTCTGTTCTTCTCATCACAGGTCATCAGTGATGATGCTGAGTTTAAAATGTAATCATAGATTCTGGTTGAGTACACACAATATACCAGGCCTATTCTGAAGAACATTGGTTTTTGTTTTGCCAATACTGGGATTTGAACTCTGGTCCTTGCACTCTCCCTTAGCTTTTCCATTCAAGGCTGGTAGTCTACTGCTTGAGCCACAGCTCTGCCTCTGGCTTTTTGTTCATTAATTGCAGATAAGTCTCTCAGATTTTCGAACTGTGATCTTCAGACCTCAGCTCTTGAATAGCAAAGGTGACAGATATGAGACACCTGCACCTGGCCTCTGAAGAGCTTTTATATAACTAAATCTCTTAACTCTCAGAAGTAAATAGAAGGGACGCTTTCCACTAGTTCCTCTCTCATGGAATCTCTCATAAAAGCCTCAAGTCTACCATATCTAAAAGGGGCTTCCTTCTTGTGGAGTCTCCTGTTGTGAGTTTGCTCCCTAGGGGCCCAGACAGTCAACGTGGGCCTCTTTCTCGATTCTTCTTCTTCTTTTTTTTTTTTTTTTGGGGGGGGGGGGGGTCCAGTCGTGGGGCCTGAACTCTGGGCCTGCGCGCTGTCCCTCAGCTCTTCACCTCAAGGCTAACGCTCTACCACTTGAGCCACAGCACCACTTCCGGCTTTTTTGCTTATGTGGTGCTGAGGAATTGAACCCAGGGCCTCAGGCATGCAAGGCAAGTGCTCTACCACTGAGCCATCTTCCCAGCCCCTCGATTCTTCTTTCAGCTTGGCCTACTAAATGACCTCTTACCTCCATCTCTGCCATTATCCTGAGTTGACCACCATCTCTTAGTTGGATTTCACTGGCTTCGTATCTATAAGCGACCATCCAATCATTCATTCTCCACACATGATGATACAAAAGGCTGTTCGAAATCCATCTGGCCTGCTAGCTCTTAGATAATAATCAAAGGCCTCAATAATAATGACAAATTTGACTTCCTGGTCCTACCAGCCACAGCTCCTTTTGCCTCAGCCCAATAGGAAAAACTACTCTGAGGTGTATTGCTTTGTCATTATTTTCTGGGAGCAATTACAGCTTTATTTGACAGCTATTCATAGAATGCCTATGATGGTCCAAGCATTGTCTAGGTAAAATAGCTAGAAGGCAGATACTGGAGAAGAGGATTTTATTATCTCAAAGTGAGACACATTTAGCTAGCCTGTTGGAGATGACTGGTTTTCAAACTACAGATATGCAGGACTTTACCCTTCTCTAGCAGCTAGAGAGTAACACCCAGTACTTAAGAAGTTGAGTTGTGGGCTGGGAATGTGGCTTAGTGGCAGAGTGCTTGCCTAGCATGCATGAAGCTCTGGGTTCGATTCCTCAGTACCACATAAACAGAAAAAGTTGGAAGAGGCACTGTGGCTCAAGTGGTAGAGTGTGCCTTGAGCAAAAAAGCTTAGGGACAGTGCCCAAGCCCTAAGTTCAAGCCCCATGACAACCACCATCACCAACAACAAAAATAGGCTGTGAAAGTGGAAATGTTTGTTGAAGTAGTACCTTATAGTTAAGGGAACTATAATAAAAGGAAGTTTTAAGTGTTAGTTATTTTAATATACATACTTTCCTATCTTAAGGCATATGTAAAGTCAGTTGCTTTCCCAGAATTAGATTTAAAAGAGCTTTACTGTTTTAATTCTTCAGCCT